AGTGTTGCATTCTTCCATGAAATTCTGTTTTACCTTCGTTGAGATCGAGCGACACCCAAGATTCGTTGCCGTGTTTAGGGCTATGGAGAGCAAGTTGGATAAAGCGAGCATGATCCATGATCGTCGAATGCTGGAAAAGCTGTCCGATGGTAAGAGTATTTGAGTCTAACTCGAACACTGTCACATAGCGATGGTAGAGTTGCATGAGAAGGAGAGAGTGACCGCCAATGCTGAAGAAGCTCGCTGTGGTCGATATCTGGTCGCTGTCACGTTGTAGTATTTGACACCACAAGGCGTGTACTTGTTTCTGTAGTGGACTTTGAGGAGCATCAGCTGTTCGATTATATGCCGAAGAAAAGTCGGGTGTGGGAAGACGTTTTCGATCTAGTTTTCCATTCGAGTTCAGTGGAAACTGGTCGAGGACGATGAACATCGATGGGATCATGAACTGTGGTAAGTGAGAGTGGCAGTATAGATGTAACTGTGCTTCGTCAACATGAGATCCTTGGACGTAGGCGACCAAATGATCATCGCCCCACTTGATCACCGCACATGCAGACATATGTGACGACGAACTGAGTAAACATTGTTCGATTTCGCCGAGTTCGATTCGTTGTCCGCGTAGTTTCACTTGATAATCTTTGCGACCGATGGAGTGGAGATTGCCATCGGTGTCCAGCCGAACGAGGTCGCCTGTTCGATAGAAGAGCTGTCCGTCGATCTCAATGAGCGCCTTTTGCGTCAGGTCTTCGCGTCCGAGATAGCCCGCAAAGACTCCGTCGCCACCGATGAGCAGTTCACCTTGTTGTCCAACAGGAACAGGCTGTAGAAACTCATCGAAAATCAGGCATGGATAGTTAGGAAGTGGTCGACCGAGTGGAATGCTCTTTGTTTGAATCGTCGGATCGACGAGGTAGTAGTGAGAAGCAAGTGTTGTCTCAGCTGGTCCGTATACATTCCAGATCCGACAATCGTTGACAACATATGTGGTAAGCAGATCAACAACCTTCGTGGAAAGTACATCTCCTGGAAATCAACAGCAAAAGTACAGAGTCCTGTTCTTATAATCATGCACGGAGTTGAAGTGGCGTTGTGCCGTGTAATACTTATGACTCAATGAATGACTAAGAAGACGCCATAGAAGCGCGTTAGTATGAAAGTGGGTAGACATAAAATGTGTCATGTGGCATCGTAAAAGAAATGAATTTGGCCTAGACAGTGATAAGGCATTCGCGCATACATTTGCATTCTTTTGACTATCTGGTCAGTAGATTTTACCGTTCAAAATGGTTCGCTGAGACGAAATAGGCCTATATCAGATATTTCTGTAACACTTCCATCTCCTTCAGTTACTTTCCCACACGTCGCTACTACAGCTACAACTCGTCCTTTCCTACTTGTATCTGTCTCACAGAGCATGCTTTACCCTACATAAAAACACATTGGTGCCGATTTTTACCGACGATTCAAACCAGGAAAAAATACAGTATACAATATCGTGAGAACAACAATATGCTGAAAGACAGCCGACAGCTGAAAGCTCGAGGCGTCACTCGGCAGTCGTTCTTTTCGATATTAAAGCTGCTTTTGACTCAGTATGGCATGATGGGCTAATTTACAAACTCAATGATCTACGCCTTTCCGATACATAGCCAGATACCTAATCTCTTTCTTGCACAATCGAATAGCCGCTATTGGAATTGAAAATGTCTTATCACGTTCGTTCTAGCTCAAGAGTGGTACACCACAAGGATCTCCGTTGTCACCATTGCTATACATCATTTACACGGCAGATTCGATGAATGGTATACCGTCTCATACGGAATATGGATTGTTCGCCGACGACACAGGTCTTAACGAAAGACTTCAGCGATCCATAGACGCTTCCGAAAGCTGGCGCTCTTCATGGAAACTAAAGCTACAACCGACAAAAACAGAGCGGGTTCATTTCAGCCTACACCCAAGAAAGAAATACGAACATCCAGTGGAAGTGAAAGTAGAAAACACCATCATCACTCCAGTGGATCATACAAGATACTTGGGCGTAATAATCAACAAACGGTTAAACTGGCAGAAACATCTCGATCACATAGAAAGTAGGATTGGTCCTCGGATTGGTCTACTTCGCTATCTATCGAGAATGTCATACGATCCAAACATGAAGATAATGATATACATTTTCAAATCAATTGTGCGCACAATTTTTATCTATGGCTATCCTGTTCTACTTACTGCTGATCAGCGCATATGAAACCGACTGCTGATTATGCAAAACAAAGCATCACGCGCTGCTCTCGATCTACCCATATATACTTCAACTACAAACATACATCAGATCAGTAACGTACCGAAAATCGATGTTTATGCAACAGGACTACTTCAAAAAGCAATACAAACTGCTACCATAAAAAATGACACGACACTCCGTAATCATTTACAAGACATTTTCGACCAAATCAGAAACAACACCTCTTGATTATCTCTATAATTTCTACATCGATATTCAAGACTATTTCTGCGCTGGCCGAATCTGTACAAAAAATGTTATATCGGAATCGTGAACTACGAGTTTGCTTCTTATATATATCAAGACATGAAGCAAAGCCTTGGCTGATCAAACTTAAAGATTCATCAAATTGGCTGCTCTATTTATCTTCACATATCTAATGTGTACGAAGTCAACACTCCAATGCGCGATTCATTCTTTCCTTCTTTCTCTCCTTCTCGTATTCAACCTTTATCGCACTACTTTCCTCTTCATCGTATTTTACTACACACCATTCACGTGATGCTTTACAAATGTATCTATTTCCACATTAACGTCTTTCACCTGTGATTATCTTCTTTCCGCGGACATACGACGTTAGTCATGAGTCCGATTTCTACTCTTCTTCCAGCGTTCGTATAATAACATACAACCGTTGTTTTCACTCGTAATATACTGTTATAATACTGAATAAAGCTTTTGTTTCCAAAAAAATTTTTACCGCCTGCTGTACAAATGATAAGTAACCTGCGAATTTTGTTTATAAACACGATGGGTCCAATGCTTCTTCAACCTGCTGTTCCAGCGTTACATGAAACGAAAGTTATAGTTAACTATGCTGCATCCATTCATTCAAGTTTAATTTATCCTACAAAATGCATACTGTGCGTACACTCAAAAGTAGTACAACATCAATGTACTTTCATGCGATAATTAGTTTGAAAATTCAATTCTCATCGGTGAAGAAAAGAAATACCTACAGGATGTAATATTGCTATCTATACGCAACTACTCCTCTTAAAATCGTATATCAATACCATACGTAGGTCTCTATATATCTGTCCGCATCCATGCACACAACGGTCGACCAAAACTAGTCACTTACCACCGCTGCAAATCGTTCTTAACGATAGAATCTTCTCCATACTGTTCTTTTCCTTGAAATAACTGCCCAAACTACTAAGCACCGTCGGCACAATGAACATGTACGACACTTCTT